TTCTCAGGGGGAAAGGGGTGTGGGGGGTGTGGGAAAAGACTGGACAAAAATCATACATCTATGGATGAGGACAGTGGGGGGGGGGGAGGTAAGGGCAGAGAGTGGGATGGGAACCGGGTGGAGTGGAGCTATGCGGGGGGGGGGGGGAGGGGAGGAGAAACAATTGTAATAATCTGAATAATAAAGACTTATTAAATTTAAAAAAAGAAGAAAAAGAAAGCCAGTTCCCCAGTCAGTGTTCCACAGCGCTGACTATTAACTATAACTTATCGCTAATAAGTCCGGTTAGCCACTCGTCACTCAGTAAAAGTGTAGGAGGATTTGCAGTTTTCTAGAAAGTGGCCAGGTGGACACGTGTTAAGGAGGGTCCAGGCTGGAACTCTGGGGACCTGAACCGGAGACAAGGAGGTAAAACTGGGAAAAGGACATTTGGAAAACGAAAGAGGTTGAAGACAATACACGGAAGTGGCAAGGCCTGGGGAAGGGAATAAGATGTGGGAGAGAAAAGAGTGATGAAGATGGAAGGACCGTTGCATGTTGGGCAATAAAAACCTCAAGTTGACCTCGGTCGTGGGGTGGCCTCCCGCCGTCTCCTCTGCTAATGGGCTCCCGAGGTCCGAGAGGGGTCACCGCTGAGGTAGGTTCCCCCCAGTCCACAAGCGAGAGCATGGTGGCCACCAGGACTACTACCTGGGCCACCTGGGTTCCACTTCCAGTAACAGCTCCTGTGGAAGTGCCGAGTGCCCTGGGGAAGCCACCCCGCACCCCCGGGTCTCCCCAAAGCCGACCTCAGTCACTGATGGGCAAGCTTCTCTTTGGGGAAGTCCACACGCCATTCGTGGCCTCAGTGTTGGAGTCCCCAGAGCACTGGTATCTCCGCAGGCCGCCGGCAGCATGATCGCCTGTGACCTGGCTCGGGAAGCCACAAGGAAGCAGCCTGGCGGCCAGCCTGGCAGAGCCAGTGCTGGGCTCCCATCCTGAGTGGCCGCCAGCAGACTTCCCGAGGCGCTAGGCTCTTTGAGGCTTCCTCGCCGCCTCCAATCCTGTCCCCTTCCCTCTCCTCACCCCACTTCTTGTAGACTAGGCCGGCTACAACAAGCAGACACAGTTGGGTTCTTTTATAGCAAAACAGCAGAACACTAAAAAGGAAGTTGAGCAAACCCCATCCTTTACTACTCAAGCCATACGCAAGCCTGCCTAACACCCCATAACCATGTGCCTCGCATCAAGTGGAAAACAAATGACAAGGAGCCAGCATCCCCTCCCCCCTCCCAAAAAAAAACACCAAAAAAAACCCACAGCTGAAACCGGTTTGGCTCAGTGGATAGAGCATTGGCCTGGGAACTGAAAGGTCCCAGGTTCAATTCTAGTCAAGGGCATGTACCTTGGTTTGTGGTCACATCCCCAATTGGGGGTGTGCAAGAGGCAGCTGATCAATGTTTCTAACGCTCTATCCCTCTCTCTTCCTCTCTCTAAAAAAAATCAATAAAATATATTTAAAAAACAAAAACCACACCAACCTTTCGTGTTATAGATGAGGAAACGGGGGAGAAACCAGAGAGGGGACCGAGCTCTTGGTTACTTCATGGTTGCCAGAGGGCCAGTCCATCCATATTCCAGGGAAGAAGCAGCAAGAGACAAGGAGAAAGCATTGGTGCCAATATCAGGAAAGCAGAATTTCCCAAAGTCCCCAGCAGACATGCTCATTGTTATGTTGGTATTCTGTATAGACAGGTCTCAAAATATTTGCTTAATAATCAGTCTAGCGGAGTCCACGCATTTTTATTTTTGCACTGTCCATGCGGAAAAGGAGAAACGTGCCACCCCACAGACAGGTATAAAATTTGGGAAAACAATGCCATCAGTCACAATGTTTTTGTTACCAGAGCAAGAAATTATCAAGGAAGACAACTGGTCAGAATCCCATTTTATTTGAATATCATTTTCGTAAGATATTTATTTCATAAGGGATAATTTGTAATATCTTTGGAGTCTCATAAGACCACTTTGTTTAAATTGTTCTTTCAAGGGAGTATTTGTATTAATAGAGAATGGAACAAGTCAATAACACTCATGAATATTCATTAAAGAGCTGTATATTGCAGAGGAGAGCATAAATTATATTATTTTTGTGGCTGTTGTTAATCCTCACCCAAGGATATTTTTTCCAATTGATTTTTAGAGAGAATGGGAGGGAAGGGGAGAGACAGAAAGAAGCATCAATTGGTTGCCTCCTCTACTGGAGATTGAATCCGAAATCTAGGTATCTGCTCTGACCAGGAATCAAAACTGCAACCTTTTGGTATATGGGATGATGCTCCAACAAATTGAGTCACACCAACCCGGGGGGGGGGGGGGGGGGGAGTAGTATTCTTTAAAAACTAAATTCTGGAACTTTATTAGTTAATAGTATATACAAAAAACAAACAAACAAACAAAAACCTAAAACAGATATTCAGATCTCAATTGTGATGGCATAAAGAAAAATGGTGTAAAAGACTGAATAGGATTTTTTTAAATGTATTTTTATTGATTTTAAAGAGAAAGAAAGTGGGAGAGAGATAGAAACATCAATGATGAGAGAGAATAATTTGATTGGCTGACTCCTGCGGTCCACTACTGGGAATCGAGCCCACAACTTGGGCACATGCCCTTGACCAGAATTGAACCTGGGACCCATCAGTCTGCAGGCTGAAGCTCTATTCACTGAGCCAAACCAGCTAGGGCTGAATAGGCTTTTATATCCTAATAATTCAATAACATTTTTTAAAATTTGACTCAGTAGCTGCATGGCCACCCCTAAATATAAAAAAGGCAGGAAAATACAGGTTTGATTTTAAATACCAGGGGACTTGATCACCTGAGTAAATTTGGAATAACGAGGCACAAGAGGGTTGATATCCTGTAGAAAACTCTTCGGGACAGCCTGAGACATTGCCGAAAGAGATATAGACATATAGGGAGCTGAAGGGTCAGAGAAAGACATCTTTCTGGTTGTGGATATCCTTGAACGCTACCATGAGGAAGTTCCATTTGATCTGGACTTGAACAGAGTGGTAGGATTTGCATGTAGGCAGAGGAGAGAGTTGCAGAAGGTTGCCATGAAAAGAGGAATGGCCCAAATAAACATAGAGAAGTAGGAATGTATGACGTATCTTTGGAACCGGTCCCTTTTAGTATATATAATATCCTATTTAATAAAAGAATAATATGCAAATTGACCATCACTTCAACACACAAGATGGCTGCCCCCATGTGGTCAAAGATGACTGACCCCATGCGGACACAAGATGGCCACCGCAAGATGGTCAGCAGGGGAGGGCAGTTGGGAAGGACCAGGTCTGCAAGGGAGATCAGGCCAGCAGGGGAGGGCAGTTAGGGGTGACTAGGCTGGCAGAGGAGGGAAGTTGGGGGACCAGACCTGCAGGGAAGGGCAGTTAGAGGTGACCAGGCCTGCAGGAGAGGGCAGTTAGGGTCAAACAAGCTGGCAGGGGATCAGTTAGGCAACAATCAGGCTGGAAGGGGAGTGGTTAGGGGGTGGTCAGGATGGCAGGCAGAAGTGGTTAGGGGCAATCAGTAAGGCAAGCAGACAAGTAGTTGGGAGCCAGCAGTCCTGGATTGTGAGAGGGATGTCCCACTGCCCTATCGGGATCAGGCCTAAACGGGCAATGGGACATTCCTCAAGGGGTCCCAGTTTGGATAGGGTGCAAGCTGGGCTGAGGGACACCCCCCCTCCCCCGCACAAAGTTCATGCACTGGGCCTTCATATATATATGAAGAAGGGAAAGGGAGAGAGATATAGAAACATCAGTGATGAGAGACAATCATTGATTGGCTGCATCCTGCACGCCACCTTCTTCCCTAGAATATGGATGTTTTGCAACCCAGGCATGTGCCCTGGAATCAAACCATGACCTCCTGGTTCATAGGTCCATGCTCAACTACTGAACCACAATGACCAGGCTGGAATGGTTACCATTTTTTCTCTTTCTCATGCACATAATGGCATGGGTGTGGGGAGTGGGGCTGTGGAGATAGAGCAAGTGTGGGGCAAACTGATGGAAAGCTCTAATGCAAAGCAACGGAGTTTGGAATTTATCCTGTCCGCCATAGAGATGCCCCTGTGTGTGTGTGTGTGTGTGTGTGTGTGTGTGTGTGTACGCGCGCGCGTATTTCCCATCTTCTTACTCACCCCCAGGGCCACCATGCTGGCTGAGGCCACGTGATCCTTGTCCTGAACTCCTATGTCCTCCTCAGTGCACGCCCAGAGGGACCTTTATAATGCCCAAAGCTGCTCCCCATGGTTCAACACCTTTCTGTGATTTGAATTATTTCCCCCATTGACTTGGGAGAGAGACCAAGCTCCTCAGCCTGGCATTTGAGGCTCCTAAAGGGGGAAGGAGCTGAGTGAAGATGCTAGGGGAGAGAAGAAAGCAGCCATGGCGTAGGGGCTCCACAGAGAGTCATGGCGACTCTCCTCTCTTCTTGAAGCTCCTGGTGGTTTTTTATTTTTATTTATTTTTATTTTTTTATTTTTTTATTGATTTTTTTTACAGAGAGGAAGAGAGAGGGATAGAGAATTAGAAACATTGATGAGAGTGAAACATCGACCAGCTGCCTCCTGCACACCCCCCACTGGGGATGTGCCCGCAACCAAGGTACATGCCCTTGACCGGAATCAAACCTGAGACCTTTCAGTCCACAGGTCGACACTCTATCCACTGAGCCAAACTGGTTTCGGCTCCTGGTGGTTTTTTAAATGAAGCTCCCATTCACAAGATGAACAGACCTTCAGGGTGATGGAGGAGACAAGAGCCCCTAGTAAGAAGTGAGTCCATTTCTACCCCAACCCATGTCTCTCACTGCTGCATTCCTCCTCACCCATTCCACATCCTTCCTTCCAGAACACGTGGATCTGACATCAGAGCTAGCGGCAGCATAGATGCTGATCCTCGCTTGTCCCCGAGATCCTGCTGCTGCTGCTGCTGCTGCTGCTGCTGATGGCACTGCTGCGGTTATGGTTGGGTAAGAGGAAGGAAAGGCAGGGTGGGAGGTATCTCAGGTAGCTAAGAATGCTCGAGGATGGAGGTGAGTGGTGATGGGAGATGAGAAAGGCTGAGGTCGGGAAAAGTGGTGAGGACCTAAAGAATTAAGTACTTGATAAATAGGTAATCTAGAATCTCATGTGCACATTCTGAAATTGGCATTGTGACCCACCACGTGTTCCATTTCATCTACCCAACCGCCCCCTGAGGAATTATGCCCATTTGACAGTTCTGTCACTCTAGAACCAAGATGGTAAGTGAGCCCACATCTTCTCTCTCAACATCATCCTGTATGGTGAGCATTATTAGATCGAATCTTAGGGAAGAGACACAGCACAGTGGCTCAGAATCAGGTGTGTCAAGATCCACAGAAGTGATGTCTCAGAGTAACTGACTTCATGTGTGAAAAGCTGGGGCTCGGGCCTAATGACTCCTTTCTCTATTACATGGAATTAGGTCCTTAATCTCTCTGAACCTCAGTTTCCCTATACATCTGGGGGACTAATCATAAAACTATTATAAGACTGGCTTACGCTGATTTCTATGAAGGCACTTGGGAATCTATACACACTCAAAAACCAGAGTTCTAGCCCTAGCCGGTCTGGCTCAGTGGATAGAGCATCAGCCTTCGGACTGAAGGGTCCCGGGTGTGATTCCGATCAAGCCTCTTCCCTGGCCCAGACCCTGGTCGGGGCTCACGCAGGAGACAACCAATCCAAGTGTTTCTCTCACATCAGTGTTTCTCTCTGTTTTTCTCTTTTCCACTCTCTTCAAAAATCAATGGAAAAATATCCTCGGGTAAGGAAAAAAAAACAAAAAACAAAAACAAAAACAAAAAAAACACCAGCTTTACATTCCAGAGATTCCTATGGCCAGGGAGCCTGTGAGTTGACCTTCACCATCAGAAGCTCCTGCACAGAAACCAAAGCCCGCTTTCCCTCCTGGAAAGAAGCCAAAGTCACAAGATACAGTGACTACCAATAACAAGAACAACAAAACAAAACAAACAAACAAACAAAAAAACAGACATTATTTATTTTATTTTATTTTTTATTATTTATTTTATTTTTTATTAAATTATTATCTGTGTACATATTTTACATTGCCCTCCCTCCCACACATACCCACCCTCCCCAGAGTTTTGTGTCCATTGGTTATGCTTATATGCATAACCAATCTCTTATCTCCCCCAGATCTCCCTCCCCTCCCACTGTAATCTGATAGTCTGCTTGTTGCTTTACCGTCTCTATATCTATCTTTTGGTTCATCAGTTTATAATGTTCCTTATTATCCATAAATGAGTGAGGTCATGTGGTGTTTCTCTTTCATTGACTGGCTTGTTTCACTCAGCATGATGCTCTCCAATTCCATCCAGGTGAAGCAGACAACATTATTGTTGGTGCAGTTTGAGTGTCCTAAGACACCCCCCCCCCCAGGTTCCATGATTCATGAGAAGGGCTCACTGAACTCAGCAGAATGGTTCTATCTGTGGTTACAGTTGATTAAAGCAGAAGAATAGAGATTGAAATCAGCAGAGGGCAGAGGCATATGGGGCAGGGTCTAGGAGAGGCCAGGTATGAGCTTCCAGTTGTCTCCCCCAGTAGAGCTGTGCGAACGGTGCTTGCTTCTCCCAGCAACCATGGGTGGCAACATGCATGGTATTGCCAACCAGGGAAACCCACTGAGGCTTGGTGTCTAGGGTTTGGGGTTGTTTTTCATTTGTTTGTTTGTTTGTTTGTTTGTTTGTTTTGGGGGGAGGGAGTCTTATCTTATAGGCATGGCTGACCACCCCCATGGCTATCCTTAGCCCCCAGCCCCTCCAGAAGTCAAGATGATACCATGTGCCCCAAGGTCCCCATGATCAATCACATTGTTAGTGTATACTGTCTGAGTGTGGCCCAAGGCCTCAGGTAAACCAAGACATACTCATCATTCCGGATATTCCAGAAGCTTAGGGGTCACCTCTCAGGATCTGGGCAATCGCCAAACCTTTCTAGGATAAGGTTAATCCTTTAGTGCACCATTGGGGTACCGGGACACACTGGGTGAGTCTGTTTTCCACTTGAATCTCTCCCCACAGGGTTACTGTCTCATGCCGTGATGGGAGTCACGAAGACACCAGTGGAAGAGAACTTGTGCACCACGGTCCCTTGCAGATTAGCATTTCCCAAAGGAACTCTGGGAAATTCCATGATCGTGGGCTACTGGCTCAACAAAAATGTCAGCGCCCCTGTAGCCACCAATAAGTCCAATGTTATCATCGACGGTCACAGCAACGGGAGAGTCCACATTCTTTGGAACCTTGAGGAGCGAGACTGTACCCTGCTGACCCACAGTGTGCTCAACAGGAACAACAGGACATACTTGTCCACTGCAGACCTTCAAGAGCAAAAGACTGCCTTCCTGAGGGAGAACATCACACTCTTCCTGTCAGGTGACGTTCAAACTCATGCAATGGGCGGTTTGGAAAGGAGGAACTCCAGAAGGGGCTCTAGTAACGGCATAGTGTCTACCTCACCAGGCACTGGGCTTTAAAACAAAACAAAACAACAACAAAAAACTTAGCTGGTTTGGCTCAGTGGATAGAGCGTTGGGCTGTGGACTGGAAGCTCTCAGATTGGATTCCGGTCAAGGACACATGCTTGGATTGCGGGCTCAATCCCCAGTAGGGGGCGTGCAGGAGGCAGCCAGTCAATGATTCTCTCTCATCATTGATGTATTTATCTCTCTCTCTCTTTCTTCCTTCCTCTCTGAAATCAATAAAAGTATATATTTTAAAAACTTAGTGATTTAATTTTCACAACAATAATACAAAGAGACGGGTACAGTTGAAATCTTTCTTTTTCTGAATCAAAATAGCAGAGAGAGAGAAAGTGACTTATCCAGCAGGAGCAAGCCAATGAGAGCTGTAGGCACAAATGATCACCGACCTGCTTGGAAGGGGCAGCGCCTGCAGGGAGAATTGGATTGGGGAGGAGGGAGGCAGCGTAGGAGTTGGCCTAGGAAGTCTAGGCTGGGGGACAGACAAGGGACCATCTGCCACCTAGATCCTCAGGAAATTCACTCACCTTCACCTTAAAAGTCCAGGGTTCAGGCTCAAGTGCAGGCTCAAGACCTTAAGCAAGTCTCTCTAGTTTTCTCCCCTAGACTAGGGGTGTCGAACTCAATCAGAGAAGGGGCCAAAATCTAAAATCCAGCCTAAATCGCGGGCCGAATGGTTTACTGAACAGTCATAAACTGTCATTGTGATGGAAACGCAGCGGAGTGCAGTGATGACAGCGCGGTGCGGGCCACATTGCAAGGCCTGGCGGGACGGATTTGGCCCGCGGGCCTTGTGTTTGACACATGTGCCCTAGACAGTGGGGGGATGCTCCTTTCATGCAAAGAAGACAAATGTACTTAGGAAGAGCTGCCCAGGCTCCCTGGGGTTGGAGGAATGGGGGAGGGGCATTGAATGAGCTCAGGGCTGGGAAAGCACTTTGTAGCCTAAAGACGCTCTGCGTCAGCGTCACGGTGTGTCCGTGTCCGTGAGGGCCCCCTGTCCCCAAGGTTTGGGTACGACACCTCTCTGCCCCTGACTCAGACCTGACTCAGACACCAGAGTTCTGCATTCCAGACATTCCTGCGGCCAGAGCGCCTGTGACCTTGACCTGCACCTTCGGAAGCTCCTGCCTGGAAGCCAAAGCCCGTCTCCCCTCCTGGAAAGAGTCGGCCACGTCCCTCAGCACCGACAGCTCCGGAAACACCTCCACCTCCTCCTCCTCGGTGCTGCACTTCGCGCGGAAGCCCAAGGACCGCGGCGCCACCCTGCAGTGCCACCTGAGCTTCCCTCTCTCTAACTGGACCGCCCTCAGGTTCCCGGTGATCAGTGAGTGCTGCTGGGCAAGGGGAGATCCAGAGCCTGAGAGAAACGACAGCCCCAGCCCGGAGAGAACCACCCCACCCCCCCAGGCCTCCTAGGAAGGGGAGGGGCATCTGGGGAGCAGTCACATCTTCCCTTGGCCTGGGGGGAGGTGGGGAGGCTGAAAGGTCAGAGGTCAGAGCCAAGCCCAAGAAAGATGAGAGAGGATGGAGAGAGAGACTTGCTCTGGATTCCAGCCCCTCAGAGCTTCCAGACAGTCTTCTTTCTGCAGCTCCTGTTGAATCATACACAAGGAGAAGGCTGGGTCCCGGAGGAGGTGGAAAAGGGACGTCGGGGTGCCTCGGTGACCCCTGACCCCTCCCTCCCCACAGCGCCCGCCAAGCTGTTGCACTACGCGTGCTCCTTGGAGAAGGTTCCGCAGTGCGTCTGCTCCTTCTACGGCATCCCCACGCCCGTCGTGCAGTGGCTGATGGGAGGCGTCCCCGTGACAAAGAAGAACATGAGCGACACCTTCCGGGTGACCACCACCATCACCGCCCCCTGGGCCAACAGCACCATCACGTTCGCGGGGAATCCCGAGGAAGTCCCCAGCCTCCGCTGTGAGGGGAGGAACAAGTACGGAATCCAAGAGGCAAGCATCTTCCTGGTACCAGGTGAGTACGCAGGGGTCTGGCGACTGGGCTAGAATGCCAACTCCTACGGCCTGGGATGAGGACGGGCACGGGGACGAGAGGGAGGAGAGCCTCTCAGACTCCACAGCCTTAGGAGAAGAAAAGAAAAACAATGCTCTTGCTCCCCTCTGCTTCCAGATGAGAGTTCGGTTCCCATATTGTTCGTGAAAGGGCTGATCCAGGGCATCGTGTATGGAGTCATTATTCCAGCGCTATTCTACTTCTTCCTTGTCCTCCTTCTGTGAGTATCAAGTTAAAGCTTATCCGCATGCCTTTCCCCAAACCTAACACACTTATTTATTTACTAGAGGCCCGGTGCACAGAAATTCATGCACTCGGGGGGCTCCCCTCAGCCTGGCCTGCACCCTTTCGCAGGCTGGGATCCAATGAGGGATGTCTACCTGCCAGCTTAGGCCCGCCCCCTGGGGGATTGGGCATAAGCTGACAGTCAGATATCCCTCTGGCAGCCCAGGAGGCCTCAGGGGATGCCCAACTGATGGTCAGGCCCCTGCCCCACGGAGAGTGGGCCTAAGCCACAGTCAGACATCCTTAGCACTGATGTGGAGGCAGGAGACTCCCACCACGGCCCCTGCGCTCGCAGCCATCAGCCCAGCCTGTGGCTGAGCGGAGCACCCCCTGTGGAAGTGCACTGACCACCAGGGGGCAGCTTCTGTGTTGAGTGTCCATGAGGTGGAGAGACCTCCAGAGATGCGGACATCATAGCCCACAGCAGCCTCAAGTGCACAACCTTCTAACTTAGCAACCGGCTGAAAGAGAACCTGTCTTTCTCCTGGTGATAGATCAATCCCAGGAGTAATGCTGGCTGTCCCCGCTAGAGTCACAGGCCTATCCTGGACCAATACCCTTGCTCACAAGGGCGGGCGAGGTACTCTGATGAGCCTATCCAAAGTCTGCTTACCCTGCCTTGTTCGTTCCCCTGGAAACCACAAGAAAAGCTCCTAGCCACAGTTCCTCCTTACTCCTGGCACCTCCTGAGTGACCCCGGTGCCTTCCCGCGTGACCTTGTGCGGCACGACATGACCACTCTTCTGGGGATTGTAACTGTCTTTTCTTTTTTATACATATTTTTATTGATTTTAGAGAGGAAGGGAGATGGAAAGAGAGAGATGAAAACACCAATGATGAGAGAGAATCATTGATCAGCTGCCTCCTGCATGCCCCCTGCTGGGGATCAAGCCCACAACCTGGGCATATGTCCTTGACTGGAATCGGACCCAGGACCCTTCAGGCCAACACCGGCTAGGGCTGTAACTAATGGCAGTTGTCTCCTGATCTATTGGCCTCATCATCGCCAAATACAAATAAACCCCCAGTTACTTTTTAAAACAGCTCTGGGGAAAGCAGGGGGGGCCACTGCAGTTGCCAGAGAAGTCAACGGCATGCCCACACAACAGAGCACTACACAGCTGTATGGATAGAGGAAGCACTCCATGCACTGGTATGCACAAATATCCCAGAAATCTATATATATATATAAAAGCCTAAGCAACCAGAATGCCAGGGTAACCAGAACAGCTGGTCACTATGACACATACTGACTACCAGGGAGCAGATGCTCAGTGTAGGTGCTGCCCCCTGGTGGTCGGTGCACTCCCATAGCCAACCTCCCATGGTTAGCCAACCTCCTGCCGTCCCTGCCCCATCTGGCAGGCCCTGGCCAGCAGCCAGCAACCAGCAGGAAGGCCCTGATTGGCCCTGATTGCCGGCCAGGCCTAAGGACCCCACCGGTGCGTGAATTTTGTGCACTGGGCCCCTGGTATTAAGAGAAGGAAGAGAGATACCAACAAAGATTTGTCCAAGAAAAGAAGCCCACTATACTCAAATCAAGACATTAAAAGGCTGTCCAGCCAGCATAAGTCAGTGGTTGAGCATCCACTATGTCCAGGAGGTCATGGTTCAGTTCCCGGTCAGGGCACATGCTTGGGTTGCAGGTTGGATCCCCAGCGGGGGGCATGCAGGAGGCAGCCGACTGATGATGCTCCCTCCCTCCCCCGTCCTCTCTGGAGTCAGTAAGAATATGTGACACCCTGACCGGTTTGGCTCAGTGGATAGAGCGCCGGCCTGTTGGACTGCAGGGTCCCAGGGCAGGTGCCTTGTTTGCGGGCCCATCCCCAGCAGGGGGCGTGCAGGAGGCAGCTGATCGATGTTTCTCTCTCATCGATGTTTCTGACTCTCTATCCCTCTCCCTTCCTCTCCGTAAAAAATCAATAAAACTTACTTTAAAAAATAATATATGTGTATTAAGAAGACATTAGAAGGCTGGGAGGGAAGCAGAGGGAAGATGAAGTCATGAAGGGCCACCAGGTGGGAGGGCTGAGGCTTTGTCCTTGGAGCTCTGAGAAGACTGAGGGGGTGGGGGGAGCAGGAGGCCTGGGAAGAGGCTGGGAAGAGGGTCCAGGCCAAAGGGGGGGGTATTTGTACCCCCACCTGATGAAGGGAGAGGAGGGCTGGTCTCAGAGCCCGCACATGGAGGAGAGCTCAGTCTTCTGACCTCCACCCAGGGCTCTGTCTGGTGAGGGGAAGCAGGGGAGAGGGGCAGACTGATCACAGCATTAACCACAGGGTTCGTTGCCTCAGAATCAGGATTCTTAAGTGGTGGGTGACGCGTCAGATCCCCAAGGAGGAAGAGGCCCTGATCCTCAAGAAGCCAGAGCTGCTGGAGGAGCCAGAGGCGCCCAAGGAGACCAAAGACGCAGCCTCGCCCAGCTGGGACGGAGAGACGCCCCCGGAGCGGCTGGAGCCCAGGCCGTCCACCAGCCAGGAGGCCGCCCTGCTGCCGCCCTCGGCGGGCGCGCTTTAAGAGCAGAGACGCCCGGGACCCCTGCACCCCTCCACCCTGGCCCCTTCCGCCCCGGACCCCAGGGCTGGACCCCGGCTCATTCCAAGGCCTGGCGGCCAGCACGGGGAACCAGGGCTGGGCCGCGGCAGCCTCTGCCTGTCCTTCAGGCTGAGCGCCCCTCCCAGCCCCAAGCGCAGCCCCGGCCCCAGAGGAGCCGCTCCGTCCAGCTCCGCTGCCCAGCGGGGAGAGGAGGAGATGCTGGGGAGGGAGCCGCGGCTGCGCGGCCCACGGCCCACAGGCCGGGTGGCTCACACAACAGGAAGCAGTTTTCCATGATCCTGGGCTCCGGTGAGAGGAGGTGAGTCTGAGATGAAGGTGTCGCCAGGGGGGGTTTCCCGGAGGCCCCTCCTTGCCTTGCAGATGGTCAGATCCTCTCTGTGTCCTCACAGGGTCCCCCTCCCTCTCTGTGCATCTGTGTCCTCCTCCCCTCCCCTCCCCTATCCTCCCCTCCCCTCTCTTCCTCCTCCCTCCCTTCCCCCCCTCCCCTCCCCTCCCCTCTCTTCCCCTCCCCTCCCCTCCCCCTCCTCCCTCTCCTCCCCTCCCCTTCCGCCCCCTCCCTCCCCCTCCCCTCCCCTCACCTCCCCTCCTCCTCCCCTCCCCTCCTCCCCTCCCTCCCCTCCCCTCCCCTCTCCGCCTCCTCCCCTCCCCTCGCCTCTCCTCCCTCCCCCCCTCCCTCCCCTCTCCTCCCCTCCCCTCCCCCTCTCCTCCTCTCCTCCCCTCCTCTCTCCCTTCCCCTCCCCTCCCCTCCCCGCTCCCCTCCTCCTCCCTCCCTCCCCTCCCCTCCCCGCCCCTCCCCCTCCCCTCCCCTCCCCTCTCCTCCCTCTCCTCCTCCTCCCCCTCCCCTCCCCTCCCCTCCCCTCCCATCATCCTCCCCTCTCCTCCCGTCACCTCCCCTCCTCCTCGGCCCTCCTCTCCCCTCTCCTCCTCCTCTCCTCTCCCCCTCCTCTCCTCTCCTCTCCTCTCCCCTCCCCTCTCCTGTCCCCTCCTCTCCTCTCCTCTCCTCTCCTCTAAGGAGATCAGCCCTATTGGAGTAGGGCCCACCCTACTGGCCGCATTTTATCGTAATTCTCCCTTCAAAGGCCCTGCCTCCACATACAGACTCATTCTGAGGTGCTGGGGTTAGGGCTTCATGGTATAATTTTTTGGGGGGATTGGGGGGGAGGCACAATTCAGCCCATACAGAGGCTTCCGGGAGCTGCTGGGAGACCTGAGGAGGGGGAGGGACGCCCAAATCTGATTCTCAGGACAGATGGTGACATGTAGAGCCACCGTCTAGTCAGACCAGCGCAAACCTGCAGAGTGGGAGGGGGAAAGGGGTGACTCCGTTTCAGAGTAAGATGAGAGGCCACTGCTAGGCACTGGCCATTCAGCCCAGGCCTCAGAGCGCAGGCGGCCTGTCAGCCACGTCCAGCGTGCCCACTCCCTGCCCCCAGGAGCAGGTAGGAGTCACAGAGGCCCCTGAAGCGCAGGAACGGACTCTCGTTGGCGCAGAGGCCGCGGAGGGCGCTGTGAACCCAGAGTGACAGCCACCCTCCCACAGCCGCGGGCACCGCCATCCAGCCCAGCCTCAGCGAGCTGCAGGGACAGGCCCGCAGGAAGGAAGGGCTGAAACACCAAAAAGCAAAGCAAAGCCTGCCCTCTCTGGTTTGGCTCAGTGGGTACAGCGTCGGTCTGCAGACTGAAAGGTCCCGGGTTCGATTCCACTCAGGGCACATGCGGGGCTGTGGACTCGATCCCCAGTAGGGGGCGTGCAGGAGGCGGCCGATCGATGATTCTCTCTCATCATTGATGTTTCTATCCTCCCTCTCCTTCCCTCTCTGAAATCAATAAAAGTATACTTTTTTAAAAATCACAAACGGAGGTCTCTCTATGGGAATATTGGGGAGGGGGGCATTGGGGCTCCTAAGACTTCACCCTCCAGGCTCTGATCTGCACACAGGGGAACCGAGGCTCCCAACGCCTCAGGCCACACAGCAAGACTGTGTCCTGCTCGGGACTCCTGACTCCAAGACCCCTGGTTTCCGTCCTTGGTCCTCTTCCCCTGACCCCGTACGACTCCAGTGCAGGGTCCGCAACCTTAAAACGCCACAGGGCGAGGCGGGTACCAAAAGGAGCGCAGTGGGCCTGGCAGGCCGCCTGTAGAGCAGGTGCCCACCAGCAGGGGGCGCCCCGCAGCAGCCAACCCTGCTCCTCCCACTCCTCCAGCACCTCCCCTGCCACCCACCTCCCTCGGGCCTCTAGTGCCAGATCTTGTGACTTCTTTCTTTTCTTTTAGGAGAATCCAGAGATTCCGAGTTCAGTGGGAAATCCCTGGATTCGAACGTGCTGGTCATTAAAGCCGTGTGTTTTGTTTTGTTTTATTTTGTTTTGTTTTAAATATATTTTATTGACTTTTTTACAGAGAGAAAAGGAGAGGAATAGAGAGTTAGAAACATCGATGAAAGAGAAACATCGATCAGCTGCCTCTTGCACGTCTCCTACTGGGGATGGGCCCGCAGCCACGGTACATGCCCTTGACCGGAATCAAACCGGGACCCTCCAGCCCACAGGCCGACGCTCTTATCCACTGAGCCAAACCGGTCAGGGCAAAGTTGTGCTTTTTTTAAATAAAAATTAAAAAAATAGAAAAGCAGCAGGGGTCCACGAAAAGCCTCTGGTTTGCCAATCGGATTAGAAGCCCAGAGACGGAAGGGAGCCCCTCTCTCCACACCCTCGTCCTGCGAAAAGGAGGTGTCTCCACTCAGAAGGCAATCCCCTTGCCAAGCGCAGATGGAATCCCCAGACACTGGGCCGAGGCGTGGGCGTGGGCGTGGGCGGGGGAGGACATTCTCAGGCAAAGCTTACGTTCTGGAAGTGGGGCGTGCGGGCGGGGTTTGTGTGTGTGTGTGTGTGTGTGTGTGTGTGTGTGTGACTGAAAATGCACACGTGAACATGAAATAAGGCCATGGGAAATGCCACTGATAGGTCCTCCCTTCCCCCAACTGCCGGACGGAGAATGAGGTAAACTCCACCTGCAGCCCGGACATTCCTGAGCACCTCATATGGACTGTACATTTTTTTTTAATTTCTTTATTGATTAAGGTATCACATGTTTGTCCTCATCCCCCCATTCCCATCCCAAACCCCTCCCCACGCATGCCCCCACCCCCCTGTTGTCAGTGACCACTGGTTAGGCTCATATGGGTGCACACAAGTCCTTTGGTTGATCTCTCCCCCTTACCCCCACCCTCCCCTACCTTCCCTCTGGGGTTTGACAGTTTGGTCGCTGTTTCTCTGTCTCCAGGTCTGTTTCTGTTCATCAATGTATGTTGTTCATTATTTTCCCCTAGATGCGTGAGATCATGTGATACAAGGAATTCCCTCATAAGAACCGAAACCGAGACAAGCCATACTGGTTACGCTGAGAGGCCAATGCATCCATCTGTCGTGAGTTCCTTTTGGGGCCAACAGTTCTTTTGAGTCCCCGTTTCAATGTTAAACAATTCCTCGTGTACATGTCAGCCACAGTATTTCAGAGCTGCTTGGTGGACAAATGGTGTTGATGCAGGTCCGACCGTCTCTGGTTTGGTCCTGGGCATCCTTCAGCGACACACCTTACATGGACTGTACCACCAGTCAGCACCTGCCAAATACCCTAAGCCCCCCGATTCCTAAGTCCCTAACTATGTGCCTTATATGAAACCACCAATCAGCGTGTGCTGAGTGCCCTAAGCCCCATCCCTTCCCATTCCTCCCCTCAAAAGGCGCCTTCACCACTGCACGTGTGCTCTTCCTCCCTCTGGAAGGCAGCCCGGCAGGGTCCTTCTCCTCCAATAAAGCCTGTAGTCCTGGTTCTCCGGCCCCTCTGTCCCATCTTTCAGCCCCGGAGAAAGCAAACCCCAAGGTCGGGCAGACAGACAGACAGACAGACACTGTCTGTCGGGAGTGGGGCTTCTGTGCAGAGCAGGGTCAGCAAAGCCTTCTCAGAGGGAAGACCTCGGTGCCAGTCTGGCAGGAAGGCACTGCGGAAGAGGGAACAGTGTGTGCAAAGGCCCTGAGGCCGCAGTAAGTTTGGCTTTCTCTAGGAACAGAGAAGGGCAGGGGGCCGTGTGTGGGTGACATTCCGGGATCGTGGGACTCAGGAGGTGACAAAGGTGGGGGCGGGGGGGCCAGGGCGTTGGCTGCGGTGGTCGGAGCAGCCATACCCGGGGAGAAGATGGCAGCTCGGAGCAACTTTATTATTTTATTATTAAAAAAAAAAATTAAAGCTCTGATGCACGACCACAATAGATACCTATCTGAGGCAGCTTCCAGTGTGTCACCTGCTACCAGTTTGTTTGTATATATATATATATATATATATATATATATATATATATATATATATATATATTATTGATTTTTCACAGAGAGGAAGAGAGAGGGATAGAGAGTTAGAATCGTCAAGGAGAGAGAAACATGGATCAGCTGCCTTTTGCACGGCCCCTACTGGGGATGTGCTTGCAACCAAGGTACATGCCCTTGACCCGAATCGAACCTGGGACCTTTCAGTCTGCAGGCCAACACTCAGAGCGACTTTAAAAATTCCAGCCCCCAGCTGCCCCAGACATGGAGCCGGTTCCAAGACTGCCCTCAGAGGCCTGTACCAGGGGCGGGGCGGGGTGGGGCGGGACAGGGACACTCCTCCTGGGGCCCAGGAGGGAGGACTAGGCCAGGAGGAGGATGGAGCAGAGGTTGTTGGTGTGCTGGGCAGTTAACACCTTCCAGGGTCTTCCTCATTCTCCTCGGTAACCCAGGTTACCACCCAGCAGGGTAGGACCCTGAGGTTCGGGAACAGAAGCGACTTGTCCAAGGTCACCCAGCCAGGCCCCCAAAAAGTCTGAGGAGGGGGGCTGGGGGTATGGAGCCCTGGTCCTAGGCGGCTGACGTTGCCCTGAAGCAGAGGGCGGGTCTTTCACACCTAAGCCTTGGAGCAGCATCTCCTCACCATTCCAGCCCCAGATCAGGTCCCCCAGCCTCCCCCACGCGCCCCCCCCCCCCAATTCTCTTGTTCTCCTGGGGGTGAGGGTTGCGATGGAAGGAAAAACAAAATGTCTTCCCTAAAGTCAATGTTATTCCTGAAAGTAGAGAAGCTGAACTATGTCCACAGGGGCACAGGGGAGCTGCATCTGCTGGTGGGGAAGGTGGGCCCAGGCGAGAGTGTCAGGACTCCTGGGTCTGAGGGAGGAGGGGCTGGGGGCCAGGACTCCTGGGTCTGAGGGAGGAGGGTCTGGGGGCCAGGACTCCTGGGTCTGAGGGAGGAGGGGCTGGGGGCCTGGACTCCTGGGTCTGAGGGAGGAGGGGCTGGGGGCCAGGACTCCTGGGTCTGAGGGAGGAGGGGCTGGGGGCCAGGACCCCTGGGTCTGAGGGAGGAGGGGCTGGGGGCCTGGACCCCTGGGTCTGAGGGAGGAGGGGCTGGGGGCCAGGACCCCTGGGTCTGAGCGAGGAGGGGCTGGGGGCCTGGACCCCTGGGTCTGAGGGAGGAGGGGCTGGGGGCCTGGACCCCTGGGTCTGAGGGAGGAGGGGCTGGGGGCCTGGACCCCTGGGTCTGAGGGAGGAGGGGCTGGGGGCCTGGACCCCTGGGTCTGAGGGAGGAGGGGCTGGGGGCCTGGAGCCCTGGGTCCTAGGAGGCTGAGGCTGCCCTGAAGCAGAGGGCGGCGGGCTGCAGGAGAGTGTCGGGCCGGGGTTGGGGGACCGGGGCGGGGGGACGGGGCCGCCGGGGCGGGCGGGGTGGGGGTGGGTGGGGGCCGGGCGGCAGTAACAAAGGCCTTCTCCCTCCCTCCCGCACTCCCCCGCCGGCCCCGCCTCCCCGGCCCGCCGCGCGCCCTGATTGGCCGGCCGCCCTGCCCGTCAGCGCCGCCCCCCTCCCCGGGTCTGCAGCAGCTCGGGCCGCCTCGTCGCGCCCCCCCAGCCCCTTCCCCCGCCCCCGCCGCCCCCCCCCCGGGCCGGTGCAGCCGCTGGCGGGGTCCCCTCCCCCTCCCCCTCTCCCCCCCAGGCCTCGCGCGCCCCGGGGCGGCCCCCCCGCCCCTCCGCCCCCTCCGCGCCGCCGCCGCCGCCGCCGCCGCCGCCGCGATGCCCCCCCCCGCGCCCGGGGCCCGGCTCCGGCTCCTCGCCGCCGCCGCCCTGGCCGGCCTGGCCGTCATCAGCCGAGGTACCCGCCGCAGCGCGGGGCGGGGGTCCGGGCGCGGGGCCGGGGGGCCGGGGGCTGTGGAGCGGGTGCATCCGCGGCGGGCGGGGAAGCGGACGCCCCCGGGCGCCCAGGTCTGGGCCCGGGGGCTCCTCGGACGCTGGGATCGGTGCCTCTGAGCTTGGTCGGGTTTGGGGGTGCGATCCTGGGCCTGGAGGCTGCAGCGGGGCGATCCGGGGTCGCGGACACTGGCCCCGGCAGTGCAGGGGGAGATGGGGGGCGAGGTGTGCAGACCCGGATCTTGGAGGGGGTCCCACGCTGGAGTAAGGGGTCCCCGGGCCGGATGTCTGAGCTGAGTTGGGGCGTCTGTCGGGGTAAGGAGTTGCCCCATCGAGGGTGTCAGGGTGTCGTTCTCTGGGTGGAGAGGGCCCGGTGGGGGTCCTGGCCTGAGGGCTGGGGCTGGAGGGGGGGGGGCAGAGGTGGGGGATGGGGTCTCCCCGGGGTCAGGGTGAGGAGGGGCAGGGTGTCCCCAGACCTCGGACCCAAGGCCAGGCCGGCAGGGGTTGGTGTGGAGGCTAGCCTCCCAGCTGGGTCCTGTCAGCTTGGGGGGGGGGGGGAATTGTGGTCTTTGGGGGTGCAGGTATGTGGGGGGAAGGGGGCCCAGGAAGTTGGGCTGGGGACTCGGGGAGCTGGGACCCGGGGAGGAGAGGACAGCCGGAGAAGGGAGGAAGGGCTGGCCGGGGTCAAGGGTGAATGTCAGCCCTCCGGGGGGGAGGGGGCTGGGGGTGGCCGGCCTGTGGAGCAGGCAGGGGAGAGTGGAGGGGGGCAGGGGGCGCAGGGGGTGCCCGGGCAGGGTCTGCAGAGAGGACATGCCGCTGGAGCCCGTGTCCTCCCCGCGGGGGCTGCCGCCCAGGCGGCCTGGCATCCGATCCCCCTGAGGAGGGGCGGGCGAGCGGGGAGGCAGGGTGAGTTCGGGGCTTCTGGGCCCCTCCCCCCCGCCCCCAGCTCTGCCTCCAAACAGGGGTCACAGAGTCAGGGACACGGGGTCAGGGACAGCCTGGAGTCCCCCCTTCCCCCCAACAGCCTCAGCGAGGCAGCTGCTCCCCCTGCCTCCCGCCCACACACACACACACACACCGGGTCTGGCTCATCCACTCATCTGGGATGCCAAGGCCAAGGTGGGCACACCTGGCGGGGGCACCTGCAGCCACACCAGCTGGGTGGTCCCGCCAGCAGGGTGGTTTCACCAGCGGGAGGAGAGTCTCAGGCCCGGGCTCTGTGCACGCAGGTCAGGGGTCAGCCAGCCCTCACAGCCCCGGGGCCGGGGCCCAGCGGGGCCCAGCATGGCCCAGCATGCGTCCTCCCTGGTGCAGGTCTGCCAGGCCAGCTGACTGACTGCCCCCCGCCTGCCTCTGTCTGTCCATCTCTGTCACTTGTCCTTTGTGTCTCCAGGCGTCTCAGCCATTTCCGGGGGCTCCCTGCCTCCCCCCATCCCCTGGGCCTGTCTGTCTCTCCAGCCCTGCTGGTCTCAGCACAATCGCACATCGGTCCCTCCTGCCTCTGGAAATGCCTCCCCCCCCATCCCCCGTTGTCACCCACCCCCAGGGCCTCTCCGTCCCTTCCCGCCTCTCCCACCAGAGACTTGGGCCTAGGTCACCTCTGGGGATTCACATCCCCTCTGGCCCTGACACCCCCTGGTCTCCAGCCTCCTCCCTCTCCTCCCCTCACTCCCTTCTCCCCCCACCCTTCACCTCCTCCCACCCTCTCTGTCCTCCTCCTCTCAAAGTAACTTCCCGCTTTCACTTCTCTGGCCCCCAGACTTCCTGGTGCTCACACCTGCGGGGCTGGGAGCTTAGTGGAGCCACGGGGAGGCTCCGGACCCAGGCCAAGTGCCTGCCCACCTCTGGGCCTCGGATTCCCCTTCCGGGAACAGAGGGCTGGGGAGCAGGGGTGTGTTTGTAGGGGGGACCTGAGACAGAACCAGGAGGCAGACAGCCGGCCCCACCTGCCCACCCACTGACAGAGAAAAAGCTCCTGGGAGAGACACAGAACTGCCTCTCCTCCCTTCTGTGTTGCAAATTGCGGAGGAATTCGTGCAGGTGACCAGTCCTGGCCCCACCCTTTCTCTCCCACCTACACCATCCGACACCCAAAGGTCCATGTGATGGAGACCAGCTAAGCCCGCTTCTCTGCCGCTGGCATTTTGTTTTATTTTTTAAAAATATATTTTATTGATTTTTTTACGGAGAGGAAGGGAGAAGGATAGAAAGCTAGGAACATCAATGAGAGAGAGAAACATAGACCAGCTGCCTCCTGCACACCCCCCGCTGGGGATGTGCCTGCAACCGAGGTACATGCCCTTGACCGGAATCGAACCTGGAACCCTTGAGTCCGCAGACCGACGCTCTATCCACAGAGCCAAACCGGTTTTGGCTTCTCCAGTGTTTTAGATATTGTTCTAGCTTTTACTTTGTGGCCTTTAACTTCTTTTCTCCGTGTTAGACAGAGAGGGCAGGGCGGGCCCAGCCATGCGGACCAGGGTCCAGCCTGCTTGTCTTGGACCGAGGTCTGGGCCTCATCCCTTCATGTAGCACATACAGACTGAGCACAGTCTGTTCCAGGCACTGGGGTCTGTCTGTATAGGCACAGCCAGGTGGAGTCAGGGAGATCAAATAACGAAAAAAAATCTCAAAGCAAGCCAGCAAGTCAGGAAATGCCAGCAAGTCAATATAGGTCATTTCAGAGAGTGACAAGCGAGCAGAGGAAATTAGGGACGAGCTGGCCGCATGAGCGGTTCAAACGGAAAGGAGCGGAGAAGCCAGTCTCCTGAGGACCCCGAGAACCCAGGGGCAAAGGTGGGAACCAGTGGAAATTCCATATATATATATATATATATGTATTTCTAAAGAGAGGAAGGGAGAGGGATAGAGTCAGAAACATCGATGAGAGAGAAACATCCATCAACTGCCTCCTGCACACCTCCTACTGGGGATGTGTCTGAAACCAAGGTACGTGCCCTTGACCGGAACCAAACCTGGGACCTTTCAGTTCCCAGGCCTACGCTCTATCCACTGAGCCAAACTGGTCAGGGCACCAGCGGAAATTTCCGGGAGCCTTCGCTCAGCGTTCAAGCTCCAGGCATCAGTGATGGAAAGGCCCCTGGACTTCCACCGTCAACAACGAGAAAGAGGGTCTGGGGCAGGGGGGGGGGGGGGCGTTCTGTGTAGGGAGACCAGGCCCCATCCCCTCACCCTCTTCCCTATCAGAGCCACAAACCCCCTCCCAATGTGCCCCACCACCACCACCACCACCACCCCTCCCCGGGCTCACACACACTCCTGGGCCTCGGGGTCCCCACCTGTGGGACCCCAGGACTGTGGAATCCACGCATCCCCTCATTGGTGGGCCCTAATTTTAACAAAGCTCCTTCCAGGCGCAAAAGGAGGATCTGATTTCCAACTCAAGGTCACCCAGCTTGTTAGCAATCACCATCTGTCTCAGTCTGCCACCTTCACCCACCTGCCACCTTCGCCCCTTTATTTACCAAACAGGCATGGGAGCTGCTGGTTTGGACCAGCTGAGACCCGTGTGGTCCCTCCAGTCACTTCCGGACCCCCAGACAGGCTAGCACCTGCCCCTTAACTCCCCCACCGAGCAGCTGCTGGCGGGCACTTCACCAGCCGGCTCTGTGGTGAACCGTTCCCTGAATGACCTCATGTCCTCCCCCTCCCTCACCACCACCTGATGTGGGAGGCACGATGATCATCCCTGTTCACAGATGGGAAAACTGAGTCCCAGGCAGGTGGGGGAGCTTGTGCGACGCAGAGGCAGAGCTGGGGTTTAAACCCGGGCAACCCAGCTCCCTGGCCCATTCTTTCAGGCGCCGGCTAAGTGCTAGTGACAGAGCGGACGGGGCATCTGAATGGTCGCCAACTCGGGAGGGTTGCACAGAGCAACTACACCCAGATGGGCCCTGCCCTTCCCGCTTCCCTCCTCCCCACCCCCACCCCCCAGGAGACTGATCGTGGAGCAGGGAGAGCAATAGATGTGGCTTTGGAATGGCGAGCATTTTTTTAAAAAATATGTATTTTATTGATTTTTTTTTTACTGAGAGGAAGGGAGAAGGATAGAGTTAGAAGCATCGATCAGTTGCCTCCTGCACACTCCCCACTGGGGATGTGCCCGTAACCAAGGTGCATGCCCTTGACCGGAATCGAACCCGGGACCTTTCAGTCTGCAGGCCGCCGACACTCTATCCACTGAGCCAAACCAGTTTTGGCTGGAATAGCGAGCATTTATTGGGCCCTTTCTGCATGCATGCTAAGCCCTCAGAGGGAAGAACTGCGCGCGCTCTCTCTCTCTCTCCCTCTCTCTCTCTCTCTCTCTCTCTCAATATATTTGTCTTCATTTCAGAGAGGAAGGGAGAGGGAGACAGAGATAGAAACATCAAGGATGAAAGAGAATCATCCATCCGCTGCCTCCTGCACTCCCCCACTGGGGCTCCAACTGTGACCTCTTGGTTCCTGGGTGGACGCTCACCTGCTGAGCCACCCCCGCTGGTCTACTTTTCTCTTTTTTATGGACAGGGGGGAGGGGGCGGGGACTGAGACTCAAACTGGTGTGTGTGTGGAGGGGGGAGGGGGAAGGGGGGGTCACCCAGACAGGAAATGGTGTTGCAGACATTTGATCTCCCAGCGCAGGCTCCTCGGGGCTTTCTTATCCAGTCTCTGGAGACCATCCATTCCCTCTCTGAACAGTTCCCTGCTCTGAGCTGAGCCCCGCTCTGGGGAACGCAGCCAAGATTCGGGCCCTCGGGGAGTTCCTAGCCAGGTGTGTGTGTGGGGGGGGGGGGGTCACTGTTGCAGCGGAGTCAACATTCCCTGTCATAGAGAGTGGAGACCCTCTGCTGTGGCCAGTCCGGGAGGTCCTCCTGGAGGAGGGGGCATTTGCGTTTGGGTTTTGAGGAATGAGTAGGAGTTCGAGTTGGAGAAGCATGTCTCAGGCATCCGAGTATGTTCCCCCACTCCTTCAGCAGCTACTTCCCAAAGCCTTGCGGGGCCAGACCCTGTGCGGGGAGGTGCTGGGGACACAGGCCTGAGTCAGACCCGGGCTCTGCCCCCATGAAGCTCGAGATTGCCCTCCGCCAGGCCCCGAGCTGGGCACGCTGGGGGCACAGAGAAGGGCTGCCCCAGCTCCTGCCTGGAGGACCAGGTTTGGGAGGCCGTGGACCCTGATCCAGGTTTTCCATCTCTCCCAGGAGAGGCCCCCGTTATTTTTATTTTTTAATATATTTTATTGATTTTTCCGCAGAGAGGAAGGGAGAGGGATAGAGAGCTAGAAACATCGATGAGAGAGAAACACTGACCAGCTGCCTCCTGCACACCCCTTACTGGGGATGTGCCTGCCACCAAGGTACATGCCCTTGACCGGAATCGAACCTGGGACCTTTCAGTCCACAGGCCGACGCTCTGTCCACGAGCCAAACCGGTTTGGGCAAGGCCCCGTGTTAGCAGGTCCCCGAAGAAGGAGACGCATTGGGTGGGAAACTATGAGACAGAGGGGTGGACCAGGCTGGGCCCCGCGTGCACTGAGGGAGCCGGGCCGGAGAGGTGGGGGGCTGGGGCTCTGTCCCGAGCAGGGAGCCACGGGAGGGGCCGGCAGCTCTGTGTGTTCGAAAGACCCCCCTTCCCGCAAGGCAGCTGTCTGTCTGTATTTCTGTCCGTGCTTCTGTCTGCCAGGGCACTTCCCCAGGGTCCTGGCTGCTAGTGTGGGGCCCACTCCTCGCCCCAGAGCCCTGCTGTGTGGGTGCAGCTCCCGCAGTGGCTCCCGGCTGGAGCGGGGCTGAGCCGGGAGCCCTGGTGCCCTCGGAGTTTGCGTGGCACCTTGGACAGCTCCCTCCTTAACCGAGGCCGGGAGGGGGACCTACACTGGGACAGCCGCTGCTGAGAGAGGAGGGGTGCCCCCCAGGGGGCATTTAGCAATGACTGGAGGCACTGCTGGCTGTCCCCACCCTGCGGTGGGAGGAGCTACGGGCGTCGAGGGGGTCAAGGCCAGGGTGCTGAGCGCCAGCACCTCCTTCCCTGGGCCGGGCAGCCCCACAGCGAGGGATCCTCCGGCCCAGCCAGGGGTGCCACAGGGGAGAGGCTCTGCCCAGGACATGGGTGACCGGGAGTGTGACACATGCTGTGTGCATATGTGTGTGTGTGTGTGTGTGTGTGTGCGTGTGGCCACGTGTGATCTGATTGCAGGTGACAGCGTGACCCTGTGCGCCTGATGCTTGGCCCAGAGCAGCCCCTTTGTGGTTCAGGGGTTGTGGCGAGGTGGCCGTGACATTGCACGGGCTGTAGCTTCATGCACCCCATTCCAGGGTTGGGGTGGAGGGTGAGGATGGCCCTGGAGCTGCAGGTGTCACACAGGACGAGGCCACGTGTGTGTGTGTGTGTGTGTGCGTGTGTGTAGAGATGGCCCCCTCGGTAGGGCTATGACTGTGTAGACTTTGCATCTGCGTGTGGGAGGCTGTTGGGGTCGGTGTAACTGTTGTTCTGTACACGGGGGTGGGGAGGGCAGGCCTCGGGGTGCGATGTAGCTGGACTGTGGCCACAGGGTGCTCCTGAGAAAGATCTGTCTTTCCCAACGCCTTTCCGCTGGGTGTGCCCAGGGCGGTGCTGTCACCCTGAGGGGGTGGGGGAGGGAGGGCCCTGAGCGGGCCCCACGCCAGCCACGTGACCGAGTGTGGGATGTGTCCTGGGCCTGGTGTCTGAGTGTGTCCCTGCGCAGGTCCATCTGTGGCCGCCTCCTGCTGCTCTCCAGGCCATGGGTGGCCCTGTCTGTGCCGGGCGGCCCCTCCCTCCACCCAGAAGGGCCTGGGTGGGGCTGCCCACTGCGCTGGCGCGGCCCCAGCCCTGTCCTGAGGGGCTGCTGACGGAGAGGGCCCGCGGGAGTCCTCGGGGCAGCACGGGCAATTAATTCATCAGATTAATTAGCTCCTCATCCGAGGCAGGGCAGGGCCCTCCCTCCCCGGCGGCGGCCAAGGTCATCCGGCCGCCTCCTCTCCCCAGCCCGGTGCGTCTCCATCCGTCCGCCGCCTCCGCCGGCCCCGCCCCCGCTCCTGGCTGCGGTCCAGCCGCTGGCCACGGTCCACGAGCGAGGAATGGGTGGGGGCGGGGCCTGAGGGCAGAAGGGCCCCCCAAGCTGCACTGGAGCGTGCAGGCAGGCGTGGGCCGGGGCCCGCAGGGGTGCGAACGGGGGAGCGGGGCACACGGGTGTGTCTGTGTGCACTTGTGTGTCTGCAAAGGTTTGTGTGTGTGTGTGTGTGTGTGTGTGTGTGTGTATGCGTGGGTGCTGAGTGCATGCAGCCAGCTCCATATGTGTGTGTCCATGTATTTCGGAATTAATGTGTGCACATATGTGTGGGTCTGCATCTGTTGGTTGCACAGGTCCATGCTTCTGTGTGTTTATCTGTGTACTCGTTCATCTGAATGTGTGTGCCCATGTCCATCTGTGTGTGTATCTGTGGATGTGTTTGTTGCACTTGTGTATGTGTGTCTGCCCGTGTATATGTATCTATGCACTTTTAATCTGTTCATTTGTCTCTTCACTGTGAACACACATGTGTGTGCATATATGTGTGTTTATGTGTGCATATATGTGTATACATGTATACATATCTATATAGAGTATCTGTGAGTGTGAGTAGTATCTGTGAGTGTCTGTGTGTGAACAGGTGTGTTTGGTATACACGTGCCTTGCATTCATGTGTGTTCATGTGTGATAATTGGGGGTGTGGTCTCAGTGTGTCTGGAGCGGGTAGGTTTGTGTGTCCCGGTCTGTCGGAGTCAGTGTGGGCTTGTGGGAAGATACATGTTGCTTGTGCCCTCGCTGAGTGTCTGCCGTGTGTGTTTCTGGAATCATCAGTGAACATGTGTGTGGTGGGTGTGGAGAATGTCTGTCTGTGAGGGTGCCCATCTGTGTGTGTGCATGGGTGTGGGTGTGTGTTTGTGTGTGTAAGAGTGTGTGTGGATGTGTGTAGGTGTGTGCATGGGGTGTGTGGGTGTGGGTGTGTGTGTGTGTGTGTGTAGGTGTGTGTGGGTGTGGGTGTGTGTGTGGATGTGTGTAGGTGTGTGCGTGGGTGTGTGAGTGTGCGTGTGCATGTGTGTGAGTGTGTGAAGGTGTGTAGGTGTGTGGGTGTGACTGTGTGCCCAGCGCAGTGCCCTCGGTGCTGAGCTGGCCCTCCCTCCACAGGGCTGCTGTCCCAGAGCCTGGAGTTCAGCTCTCCCGCCGACAACTACACCGTGTGCGAAGGCGACAACGCCACCCTCAGGTGCGGGCCGGCAGAAGTCCTGCCTCCCCCCGGGAGGCCAGTCCCGGCCTGACAGCCCGCGCTCCCGTCAGGAGAGGCCCTTGGGGCTCGGACTCCGGGCCTGGCGTCCCTGTCTGTCCAGAGGGCGGAGGAGTGGTAACCACTGTGTCCGTTGTTGTGGGAGTCAAGGTTCTGGACACACACAGACACACACACACACACACACACACACACCGAGCGAGAGAGCGGCACACTGTGGCTGCTGAGTCCATGAGATCCAGGGTCCCCGTTCCCAGGCCTCAGCCTCTGACCCCTCTGGGTCCCTGCCCCCTCCCTCTGGGTCCCTGCCCCCTCCCTCTGGGTCCCTGTCTCCCTCTCTTCCTCTTCCTCTCTCTCTCTCTCTCTCTCTCTCTCTCTCTCTCTCTCTCTCTCTCTCTGTCCCTCTCACTCTGGGTCTCTATCCGGCCCCTCAGGTCTCTGCCCTGCTCTCTGGCCCCTGTTCCCCTCTCTCTGCACCCCTGCCCCTCTCTCTGGATTGCTATCCCCCTCTCTCTGGGTCTGTGTCCCTCCTCTTGATGCATCTTTGTCCCTCTCACCCAGAGTGCCCGTCCTCCTCTCTCTGGGTCTCTGGCAAAATCATCACTTCATAACCGGCAGCTACCGCTCCATGCTCACCTGAGCTCACCCTCTCCCTCCCGCCCTGGGGCTCAGGTCACCCCCCTGGGAAGTGGGCACAGCCACCTCTGCCTCCCAGGGCAGGGCTCCCTCGGCACCAGCGAAGGGAGACCCTGGAGGACCTGGCTGGGAGCACCAGGGGGAGGCAAGGGAGAGAGAGAAGAACCTGCCTCCCCTCCGCCTCCCTCCCCGCAGCTGCTTCATCGACGAGCACGTGACGCGCGTGGCCTGGCTGAACCGCTCCAACATCCTGTACGCGGGCAACGACCGCTGGACCAGCGACCCGCGCGTGCGGCTGCTCATCAACACGCCCGAGGAGTTCTCCATCCTCATCACCCAGGTGGGGCTGGGCGACGAGGGCCTTTACACCTGCTCCTTCCAGACCCGCCACCAGCCCTACACCACTCAGGTCTACCTCATCGTGCACGGTGAGCGGGGGCGGGGCCTGGATACTGGGGGCGTGGTCAGGGCGGGGCGCCGTCCAGGCTCCGCCCATGGGGAGGCAGCCACAGCCCTGACCTTGTGGATTTCAGGCTGGACGGAGGGACAGCTGAAACCGGTTTGGCTCAGTGGATAGAGCTTAGGTCCCATGTTCGAGCATGCATCTTGGTTGCGGGCACATCCCCAGTAAGGGGTGTGCAAGAGGCAGCAGGTTGATGTTTCTCTCTGTCTCTCTCTTCCTCTCTGCAAAAAATCAATATATTAATAAAAAATTTTAAAAAGGAGGGAGGGACAGGCACCCAGATAGGGCCGTTCGGTGTGGCTACTGGGAGAGGGGAAGAAGGTGTGCTCCCAGGAAGACCCTATTCCCCATTTGTTGAGCACCTACTGTGTGTAGACATTTGCTCCAAGCTCGGGATGAGGAAGGAGGCCATCAGGCTGCTCCCAGGCCTCTGGAGGTGGCTTTCTAAGCAGAGGCAGCTTCCCAGGCGTGATATCTGAGCCGGGACAGCTGCAGAGCTGGCACCAGGCAGGAGCGCTGGGCACAGGCGCCCAGGGGAGGACATGAGCCAGATGTGCCCAGAGGGGCCTTGCATGGCAGGATGCATCTGCATTCAGAGTGGGCCAGAGAGGACCGGGGAGGGGGGGGCGGTCCACAGAGCGGGCAGGAGGGAGAGAGAGGGGTGAGGCTGCCTCGCATGCCAGACTCACCGCCTGGCTCCAACATGGGCACCAGCACCGCTGAGGGGCCCTGGGCAAAGGGGGCGGGGGGCTGCTCTCGGAGTCTCACATGCATCACATCTAAGACATAAGCAATTGCAAGGAACTCCTTTGCCATATGCTCTGCTGGAAAAGGAAAAACCCTGCCAATGAAACTCTGGCATCCTGATATAGAGGCATGATCAAGTGGGGTAAGAAAAATAAAATTGCCCTAACCAGTTTGGCTCAGTGGATAGAGCGTCGGCCTGCGGACTGAAAGGTCCCAGGTTTGATTCCCATCAAGGGCATGTACCTTGTTTGCAGACACATCCCCAGTAGGAGGAGTGCAGGAGGCAGCTGATCGATGTTTCTCTCTCATTGATGTTTCCAACTCTCTATCCCTCTCCCTTCCTCTCTGTGAAAAAAAATCAGTAAAATATAATTTTAAAAAATAAAAGAAACAGCCCTAGCCGCTTTGGCTTAGAGGAGAGAGTGTCTGCCTGCGGATGGAAGGGTCCCGGTTGCAGTTCCAGTCAAGGGCACGTACCTTACTCATGCGGGAGGCAGCCAGTCCATGTGTTTCTCTCACATCCATATTTCTCTGTCTTTCCCTCTCTCTCCCACTCTCTCTCAAAATCAACAGAAAATCATCCTTGAGTCAAGATTAAATAAATAATAAGTAATAAATAAAATGTAAAACATCTACATGGGTCAGAATTGCTGGACACGGCCACGTCTACTCCAGAAGGAGGATGGCCATGAGGGTTTCATAAGCTAATTTTTGCAAAGCACTGAGAACAGGTTTCCCACACCAGAAGCACAGGGGAGCATTTGCAAAATGAGCTATTTTTTTTTTAAGTAATAATAACAAATGATTCAAAATAGAGATGGAGAGAGAGAAACTCAGGGCAGAAGATAGAAAAGCCAAGATAGGATGAAGGCAGAGAGAGACAGAGACAGAGGAAGAGTGAGGAAGACAGAAGTTAGACATGAAGCCAGATCCAGAAGAAGGGAAAACTAGATAAATCTTACTGAAAGACTCGGAAAATCAGATAGACTCCTGGGTCTGAGGGAGGAGGGGCTGGGGGCCTGGGCTCCAGGGTCTGAGGGAGGAGGGGCTGGGGGCCTGGACTCCTGGGTCTGAGGGAGGAGGGGCTGGGGGCCTGGACCCCTGGGTCTGAGGGAGAAGGAACTGGAGATGTGAGGGAAGAGGGGCTGGGGACCTGGACCCCTGGGTCTGAGGGAGAGGGGCTGGGGGCCTGGACCCCTGGGTCTGAGGGAGGAGGGGCTGGGGGCCTGGACCCCTGGGTCTGAGGGAGGAGGGCTGGGGCCTGGCCTCCTGGGTCCTGGGAGCCCATACCCAGCCTGTCGCTGACCTCTCTCCCCTCCCCGAAGTCCCTGCCCGCATCGTGAACATCTCCTCGCCTGTGACGGTGAATGAGGGGGGCAACGTGAACCTGCTCTGCCTGGCTGTGGGGCGGCCGGAGCCCACAGTCGCCTGGAGGCAACCTCGAGGTGAGGACCTCACCCCTGCCCCTAAGCCCCTTCTCCTGCTCCCAGTTTGGGCCCCGTGTTTCCCCGTGTCCCTAGCCAGATGGCCAGCCCTCCGTTCCCCCAGCCGTGATCCCGTGATGAGTTGCTTTGCCCCTCCCACCCCGCTCCCCTTCTTCCCTGGCAGACCTCAGGTCCTGAGAGCCTTCCCCACATGGATTCCCAGGCCTGGGCCGCACCCTCCACATCGTCCGTTAGATTCCAGCCCTGCCCCTCCTCCCCTCGCTCCTCCCTGTCCCTACCCCCAGTGTCCACAGTGTCTTCCCCACCAGCCAGATTCTCCTGGGCTCAGGTCCCTATGCCATTGGGAGGCCTGAGCCAGGTCATGGCCAATGGCCCCACCCACATCCTCGCCCTCTGGTCACCTGGGATGCTCCAGCCCAGCAGTTCCCACAGTGTGTTCCCAAAAAATGGCAGCATCGGTATCACCTGGGGACTTGCCAGAAAAGCACAGTCCTGGTCCCACCCCAGACCAGACGACTAGAAATCTCCTCCATCACCACCTCTATCTCCATCTCCATCTCCACTTCCATCTCCATCTCCACTTCCATCTCTATTTCTACCTTCATCTCCATCTCCATCTCCATCCCCATTCCCATCCCCATCCCCAACACCATCTCCATCACCATCACCATCACCATCTCCATCTCCATCACAAACTCCATCTCCATCACCCTCTGCATCTCCATCACCATCTCCATCCCCATTTCCATCTCCATCACCCTCTCTATCTCCATCTCCATCCCCATCTCCATCTCCATCACCCTCTCCATCTTATCACTATCACCATCTCCATCACCCTCTCCATCTCCATCTCTATTACCATCTCCATCTCCATCATCATCACCACCTCCATCTCCATCTCCATCACCACATCACCACATCACTATCTCCATCACCCTCTCCATCTCTATCACTGTCTCCATTACCATCTTCATATCTATCTCCATTCCCCACTCCATCTCCTTCACCATTACACTATCACTATCTCCATCTCCATCACCATTTCCATCACCATCTCCATCAACATCACTATCTCCGTCTCCATCACAATCACCATTTCCATCAACCTCTCTATCTCCATCACCATTTCCAGCACCATCTCCACCCCCATCTCTAACACCATCTCCATTTCCATCTCCATCTCCATCCCCACTCCATCTCCATCACCATCTCCATCTCCATTCCCACTCTATCACCATCACCATCACCATCACACCATCACCATCTCCATATCCATCACCATCTCTATCACCATCTCCATCTCCATCCCCACTCCATCCCCATCTCCATCACCATCTCTATCACCATCACCATCTCCATCACCATCTCTGTCACCATCACCATATCTATCACCGCCTCCACACTTTAACAAGCCCTTTAGGTGATTCCAGCGGTCAAGCTGAGAACCACTCCCTAAGCTACCCTCAAACATAGTCCCAAGCTGCCACAGCGTGACTTCCCAGATCTGATATCTCCCTTTTGATCTGGATCTCATCACCAATTCCCACATCTCTAGATCCTCATTCCCTGGGTCTTTGGAGGCCAGTGGCGCCAATCGCTGGACACCTTGAGACGCCAGAACCCAATATTTAGGTGTCAGATCCTCCCCCAGTGGGTCATCTGAACCCCACAATCCTGGTCTAAGGCCCTGGTTTCCCAGGTGCTCTAAGTCCCAAAGGGTCTCTGAGCCTAGATCTGTCATAAGACCCTACGTGTCCAGATTATTGATCCCTAGTCTCTGAACCCCAAGAGCTAAATCCCAGAACTCAGGACCCTGCCCCATTGGGTCTGTATTTCCTGAATCTTTCTGAACCCCAAGATTCTGGAATTCTTCCCCCCCCCCCAGGGTATTCTGAGCCCCATGATCTGGATCATGTGCTCCCCAGATACCTGGATCACCTGCACCCCCAAACGCTAAGACCCTCCCTTCTGGGTTCCAATTACTAAGCCCAGATCTCACTCCCTGACCCACCCCTAGCAGGAGGTCCCAGCGCCTCCCCACCCCAACCCCCACCCTCAGGCCCTGCCTATCTCCCATTGGCCCCGGGCACTGAGGCCCTGCGGTGCCTGCCCCACTGATGTGTGTCCGTGTTGTGCCCGTGTTGTCCCGTGTTAAGTGTTTGTGTCCGGCCCCACCCCCTCCCTCCCCAACCTCCACAGATGGCTTCACCTCGGAGGGCGAGATCCTAGAGATTTCCGACATCCAGCGGGGCCAGGCCGGGGAGTATGAATGCGTGACTCACAACGGGGTCAACTCAGCGCCTGACAGCCGCCGCGTGCTGGTCACCGTCAACTGTGAGCCCCCCATCACCATCACCATCACCATCTCCATCTCCATCACCATCTCCATCTCCATCTCCATCTCCATCACCATCACCATCACCATCACCATCTCCAACACCATTACCATCACCATCACCATCTCCAACACCATTACCATCTCCATCTTCATCTCCATCACCATCACCATTACCATCTCCAACACCATTACCATCACCATCACCATCTCCAACACCATTACCATCTCCATCTTCATCTCCAACACCATCACCATCACCATCTCCAACACCATCACCATCTCCATCTCCATCACCAACACCATCACCATCTCCATCTCCATCACCATCTCCATCTCCATCTCCATCTTTATCTCCTTCACCATCTCCAACACCATCATCATCACCATCTCCATCACCATCACCATCCCCATCCCCATCACAGACTCCATTACCTCTGTCCCTGTGCGTGGGGAAGGGGGGCGGGCCCTAGATCCCCAGGCCAGAGGTCCTGGGGAAGGAGAAGTTGGGGGGGCTGGGCTCTGGAGAAGGAGGGAGGAGGGGGGCTGGGAGAATCCGCTGACCCCCCCGCCCATCACCAGATCCTCCCACCATCACGGACGTGACCAGCGCCCGCACGGCCCCCGGCAGGGCCGCCCTCCTGCGCTGCGAGGCCATGGCGGTGCCCCCCGCGGAATTCCAGTGGTACAAGGACGACAGGCTGTGAGGACGGCGCCTGCCCTCCACCCCCACCCCGGGGAGGGAGCGCATGCGGGAGGACGGGAGTGGGGAGGAGGGGGCGGTGCCCAGGGGAGGCTGCATGGTCCTCAGTCTTGAAACAGAGGGGCGGGTCCAGCTTTTTCATCAGGGATGGGTCCGCGGCCCCTGTGCGAGCTGGTGGGCACTTGCTGGGAGCTTGGGCCCTTCGGTGATGAATGCTGGGCCTCCACCTCCTGGAGGGGGTGGTCTTTTCTCCCCATGCATCCGGGGAGAAGGTCGGGTCGTTGCGGAGGACGCGGCGGGGACACTTTAGAATTCAGTGTTTCCCAAACTTTTGACATATGTGTACCCCTTCTATCATTTTATTATAGTAACGCTGAGTACCCCTCGTACTCATGAGACGTAGAATTAGGCGCAGCTAAGCACGTTGCAGTGCATATCCCCACCAAACTCCGGTGCAACGTGTACCCCCACCAAACTCTTCCTGTATCCCCAGGGGTACGCGTACCACACTTTTGGAAACACTGCGAGATCATTGGGGCCAGTGGGGTCCGGGAGTCCCTAGAGAGGCGGGGGGAGGGGGCGAGGAGGGGGCGGGGAGGGAGTCCAGTGTCCCGGGGTAGGGGGCAGGGGTGCCTGGAGAGGGGCGTCTGCGGCAGTGGCCCGGGATCCATGACCTGAAGGCTGTGTGTGTGCGTGTGTGTGTGTGCGTGTGTGTGTGTGTGTGTGTGTGTGTCTGTCTGTCTGTCTGTCTCTGGGGTCTCTGGGGGCTTGGGAAGCCTGAGAGTCCAGGGCCTGGCTGTGCGCCCCGAGCGGTCACGGCCCGCCCCCCGCCCCGGGTCCCCGCAGGCTGAGCAGCGGCGCGGCCGAGGGCCTGAAGGTGCAGACGGAGCGCACCCGCTCGATGCTCCTCTTCGCCAACGTGAGCGCCCGGCACTACGGCAACTACACGTGTCGCGCCGCCAACCGGCTCGGAGCGTCCAGCGCCTCCATGCGGCTCCTGCGTGCGTCTGAGCGCGGGGCGGCGGGGGCGGGGCGGCGGGGGCGGGGCGCCTGGGCTGCGTGGGTGGGGTCTACGGGGTGAGCGAGGTTTGCGGGGTGGGTGGTGTGCGGGTGGGCAGGGCTTACGGGTGGGCGGGGTCTAGGCGGTGGAGGTGCCTTGAATGCTCCAGAGAGGAAGCTGGGACCCCAGCAATAGAATCGAACCGGATACCGATCCCTTCCAGATGATCAATTCTCTGAGTGCCCGCTAAGGACACAGCAGTGCCTGGGAGACAAGCTGCAGGGGCTCGCAGAATGTATGGTCTCATCGTAGCAGAAAAAAGCAATAAACAAATAGACACATAAAATGAGAAGCAAACACACACCCCCGTAACTAAGCCAGAAAACACAGGATCGGGGATGGTAGCATTCGGTCACCCATCAAGAAAGCTTCCTGGAAGGGAGTATAACCTTTGTTTATTTATTTTAATCCTCAGCCAAGGATATTTTTCCCATTGATTTCATTAGAGGGAGTGGAAGGGAGAGGGAAAGACAGAGAAATATCGATGTGAGAGAGGGCCCACAGACAGAAGGATCCCGGGTTCGATTCCGGTCAAGGGCACGTGGCCAGGAGTGAAAGGTTCAGAATGGCCCCGTGGGAGAGGCAGACTCTCAGGGCCTTGAGAGAGACAAGCACGGGCCTCCCTCCTCCTCCCAGGCCTCCTCCGGTGACACCCCCTCCCCATCTCTCTCTCCCCAGGCCCAGGCTCCGTGGAGAACTCAGCCCCGAGGCCCCCCGGACCCCTGACCCTCCTCTCCGCCCTGGGCTGGCTGTGGTGGAGGATGTAGGAAGAACCCAGAGCAGCTCGCCTCCCCCTCCCCTGCAGGGGGCCTGAGGCCCGAGAGCAAGAGGAAAAGGAGGGGGAGCAGGCGGCGTGGGCCTCCAGGGGACAGAAGAGCTTTCCCTCGGCTGCCTGCCGAGGAAGGAGGAGGAAGGAGGAGGGAGGAGGAAGATCGTCAGAGAAACCCATCACTGTGAGGGATAACGCAAAATTATGCATCTTTCTACAGCCATTCTCGCCACCGTTCACGTTTCTGATTGTGACCCACCCACCCCCGCCCCTCCCAGCCCTCTCTCAGCTCAGGCTGGCCACTGGATCGCAAGTGGGGAGTGGGAGTGTGTGCGTGCGTGTTAGCCTGCACGTGTGTGTGTGTGTGTGTGTGTGTGTGTGTGTGCATGGGAGTGGGTGGGCAGGGAGGGGAAGGGGGCTCCGATCTTCCCTTCCTGACACCCCCACGTCCACTGCCCCCGCCCTGCTGCCTCCCCGTGCCCCCCCCCCCAGGGCTGGAGGTAGGTATAGGGGCTTCCGTGGCAGAAGCTGTGAGGGGAGGTTATCCATAGCCCTGCTTCCCCAGTAAATGCACGCACACCCCCCACTCCTGGCTGCTGGGTGGGTTGGCAGTGGAGAGGGGTGTCAAGCTGTCCACCGGCTGCTGTGAGCAGGTAGGGGTATCCATCCGGATCCCGGGTCCCCCTGCTGTCAACCCACCCACTGCCTGCAGCCCAGGCTCCATCCCTGATTCACAACCTGAGACCTCCCTCCTCCCCTGTCCCCGCCCCCCCTCACCCCCCTCTCCCTGGACTTTCTGGGCCCTTCCTGGGCCAACCGGTGCTTCCATCCAACTGTCAGGCTGGTGCCCATGGCCACCTGTCTGTCTCAGTGCTTTGCCCTGTCCATCCCCCACGCCCTTTGGCCGCCTGCAGTGCCAACACGCTGCCCTCCGCACCCCTGCAGCTGCCCACACCGATGGGTGTGCTGGTCTACCCCTCCCCGGCTCTCTCTCCACCAACTGCACCTCCCAAAGGCTGACCTGACCGCGCACGTGTGCACGCGTGCACACACACACACACACACACACACACCAGCGATGGACCAGCAATAGCCCCCTGGCTCCAGCTGTAGCCCGTGACCAGCTGTGGTTCCCAGAAGGGTGGCCAGCCATTGTCAGGAGGTGGCACCTCGGGGCTCTAGCCTCTGATTGTAGGAGCACCCCCATTCCGGCACACCACATCCCACCAACTGGGGGGCCAGGGGTCCCACACAGACATCCGGAGCCGGGACGAGACGGAGTCACCAGCTCCGACTCCCGGGAGACCCGCTACCAACACCCACCCCGAGCCACTCCACCCAGCGTTTGGGGGTCGGGGGGGACAGAGCAGGGGCAGGGGGAGAGGGGCAAGGGGCAGTGACTGTACCTCAGACAGGGGCGTGGGCCCCATCCCACATTGTCTTCCATTCCCAGGGTCCGGGGAGGGGGGACGGGGATGGGAGGGGGAGGGCGGCGCGGGCGGGGGCGGGCGGGCCCTGGGGGCCGTGTGTTCCGATCCATGGGGAGTGTTGAGACCACCACACCAATAAACGCCTTTTTCCAAAGCCTCCGCCTGCGGGTGTCCACGTCAATGGAAAGGATTCGGGTGCAGGGAGGTCAAAGGGTTATGACCTCGTCACCTTTCTCTTGGGGAGGTTTGGGACGGGCCTGGCACAGAGCAGAAGGCTTAGAGAAACTGGGCCCGCAGTGATAGCCTGTGAGCTACTGGGTCAAAACGCATCTGCTGCCCTCCTTCACTTACACACGCCAAGTCCCCGGTGTGTTTAAGGCGATGTGCGTTAGGTTTTCTATCTCCGGGGATCGAAAAAGAAGTGACAACTCTACCGGATATAAAAGAGCTACAGGCCTAAATGGTTTGGCTCAGTGGATAGAGCATCAGCCTGCGGACTGAAGGGTCCCAGGTTTGATTCCCATCAAGGGCATGTTCCTTGGTTGTGGGCACATCCCCAGTGGGAGGTGTGCAGGAGGCAGCTGATCGTTGTTTCTGACTCTCTATCCCTCTCCCTTCCTCTCTGTAGAAAATCAATAAAATATTTAAAAAAGAGTTATGGAGGGTCCAGGTATCCAGGACTCCAGTCCTCAGCTCTTCAACATGAGCTCTACTTCCCAATGGCCTCTTGCACCCCAATCTTTAACCAGAAAGCCTCCCCCTTCTCGTTCCCTGAGACAGAGGCCGGTGGCCTGTGCTTTCGTTCTGTGCTTCCCCTTTCTCTGCTGTCAGACCCACGGCCCCCCATCCACCCCCCATGATACAGGCTGAGAGGTTTGGTTTCACTGCCTTCTGGGTCAATGACACGGGGGACACTTTCTGGCAGGCTTCAAGGGAGCTTTGCCCCGCTCAGGAGATGGGTCGAGGATGTGATGCCTGGAGCTGCAGCAGCCATCTTGCTACCTGAGGCATCCTGCTGACCCCCTGAGGATGCAGTAAGCCCAGGTCCTTGACCGGGTCCCTAAGATGCGGCACCAGCCTGAACCCAACCACCCACCTCCATGTTTCTTGCCACCATTTATTTCGTTAATCGTGTCCAAAGGAATCTTCACTGATGCACCCCTTCATTTCCAAGGGGAAGCCTTGCTGACAAAGGAAGGCATTGCTGGCACCCACACATCTGAGCAGTTCACCTACCGTATATTTATTGACCCGAAGCCCAGTGCATAAAGATTCGTGCAGGAATAGGGCTTTCCTTTCCCTGGCTGCTGGCACCGCCTTCCCTCTGGCGGGAGCTGCCTTTCTGCTCTGGCCGCTCAGTGCCTGCATATGCAAATTAGCCCGCCATCTTGGTTGGGTAAATTTGCATGCTCACTCCTGATTGGCTGGTGGGCGCCGCAGAAGGTACAGCCCATTAGCGTGTTACTCTTTTATTAGGTACATTGCCTGCTGTGTGCTAGGCTCTGTGTGAAGTTCTGGGGATGGTGGAGTGGTCTCTGACTCCGTCCACAGAGCTCTCCGTGTAGAGTGGGAGTCAGAGGCTGAACAAGTCAGGATGTATTTACAGAGGAGAAGCAGAAGGTTCAGGGTCCCCAGAGCCTGACCCACGACTGAGGCAGGGGTTGGAGGAGCGTCTTCTCAGATGGTAGCTGCCACCTTCACGCTTGAGAAATGTACCACACACACAGGAGAAAGCGCCTTGCTCCAGACGCAGCAGGCGCTAGGAGCAAAGGCCTGGGGCCAAAATACCGTGGCAGAGAGGCCTGTGTCACTGGAGGGGCAGGGGGAGGGTTGGAAGGGGAGGTCAGGGTGGTCAAGAGGGGTCAAACTATAAGGCTTTGAAGGTCATGATGAGGCGTTTGGACAGCATCTGAAGGACAATGAGCAACCATATAAGGGTTGAAAGCAGTGGTTCCTGATGTGGGGCACACAGCCTCACGGAGGGGGGGGGGAATTTGATTTTTAAGGGGGCAACTTGAGAATGAGTTATTGACGGTGAATTTTTTGCATTTCTTATGGTTCTAGGGGCCTCATATACAGTATGGTAACGTATTTATGCATTTCAGTTCTCTATTACATGTTTCAAAACTTTATTTGCTACTTTTTCAAATCACTTCATATTATTATTACTATTTTTAACAATTTCTTAGTGATTCCTTCCTCAGTACTTCAACTGTTCTTTCGTTCTTTTATCTTTCTTTCACGGATGCCATGTTTTTTGGAACCTTGTTTAGACCAAGCTAATGGCTTTTTAGGTTTCCTCCACGTTCACTTTTTAAATAATAAGAATTCTATGTCACGGGAGTGGGAGAGGAGCATCAGGATTCTATTTGTTATTTTTTTTTTAATATATTTTATTGATTTTTTACAGAGAGGAAGGGAGAGAGATAGAGAGACAGAAACATCGATCAGCTGCCTCCTGCACGTCCCCCACTGGGGATGTGCCCGCAACCAAGGTACATGCCCCTGACTGGAACCAAACCTGGGACCCTTCAGTCTGCAGGCCAACGCTCTTTCCACTGAGCCAAACCAGTTTTGGCAAGCATCAGGATTTTAGAGATGCTGAGGTGGGGCGTGGCCAAAAAAAAAGGTTGGGAACCACTGGTTCAAAGGCAAGAGGACATGTGATCTGGTCTGTTTTAAGATGAAGACTCTGGAAGCCGATGGGCATGGTGGTGTGCAACCACGCTACTAGATCAGTTGGAGTCTCCCCAAGCCCAGGAGTCCCGCCTCCTTCGTTGCACAAACACAGGCAGCGTCTTCTCCGGTGAGAGAGGGAGACAGGAAGTCCCACTTTCAGAGTCCGACCTTGAGTCGCCGCAGGGCAGGAGGCGGAACAGGGAGTCTTGCCCCAAAAGTCCTGCAGGGTGCAGGCCGTTTGTCGGGTCACACCTGCGTGGCTGCCCGCACCGTCTTTGGGACCCCACCTGGGGCGATGGCCGGGCTGGGGCTGGCGGCCTGGAAGAGAGGGGGTGGGGACAACCTCAGGAGGTACTCCGGATGTGACGGGACTCAGCCTTTTCTAGCCCCGGCTCTCATTATTCGGAAATTAGCAGGGTTTCCTCCGCTTACAAGGAACAAGAAATGTCTCGCCTCCCTTTGGGAGCGAGGAGACATGCAAGTTTAGTGGGAAAGAGAAATCCCACCCCGCTTCTGAGAGAAAATGAAAGTTTGGCCCATTTTTATGGGGGTAAAAAAAAATAAAGGAGGTCCCATCTTACTCCCTTTGTGGGGAAAATTGGAATGTCACCCTTCTTTTAAAGTACACAAAGTGCCCTAGCCGGTTTGGCTCAATGGATAGAGCTTCCACCTGAGGACTGAAGGGTCCCAGGTTCGATTCCGGTCAAGGGCATGTACCTTGGTTGCAGGCATATCCCCAGTAGGGAGTGTGCAGGAGATAGCTGATTGATGCTTCTCTCTCATCGGTGTTTCTGACTCTCTATTCCTCTCCCTTCCTCTCTGTAAAAAAAATAAATAAATAAAAATATATTTTAAATAAAATAAAATACATAAAGCAAGCATGTCAAACTTGTGGGGCACAACGGATATTTTTTGCAACCCAGCCAATGTAATGGTGTATAAGAAACGTTTTAATAAAAATTTCATATCTTAATTTTTATAAAAACCTATTATACATAACTAGAGGTCCGGTGCACAAATTCATGCACCAGTGCGGTCCCTTGGCCTGGCCTGCGGGATCAGGCTGAACCCTGCTCTCTGACATCCCTCGAGGGGGTACCAGATTGCAGGAGGGAACAGGCCAGGCCGAGGGGCCCCACCGGTGCATGATTAGGGCCAAGGATGAATGCAGGAAGTTGGCCAGCTGGGGAGGAACCTCGGAAGGGCTCCAGGGCATGTCTGGCCCATCTCAGTCAGTCCCGATAGGCTGGACCACAGCAGCAAATTAACCTATCAGTTTCAGCACCTACCCCCTTGTGGTCAGTGCACACCATAGTGAGTAGTTGAGCAGCCTTAGCATATTATTAGCATATTATGCTTTGATTGGTTGAACAGATGACTGGACAACCGGACACTTAGTATATTAGGCTTTTATTATATAGGATTATTAATAACGAACTACAACGTTCACCAATGACTAATTACTATAATCGTGTTGCATTCATTTTCCTTACACGCCTTATGCGTAGGCACACCATTTCTCTCCACTAATACCAGCAGTG